TCATTAATGATAATGAGTAATGGTAATAACAAGTTATTAAACTATTGTAGCCAAAACGAGGCCAAGTGAAGCATCTTATTCAAAAATAAAGTACCAAGGAATGAAAATTAAAATCGTATACATTACACGCAAACACCGCAACGCTCGAGTTTCAAACATACAGGTAACTAGCTGCACTGAACTTTCTGAGTAAATTGAGGGCGCATTTGCAAACGATGGCGCTTAGCGAAATTTGATTGGCTAAATCTATGGTAGCCATCTTGGATGGTACACACACACAGTTCTGCGTATTTCGAACATCGAATACATTGCGGTTAGCGCTCTAGTATTCTTATTATACCTCTATGATTTACACAGAAAGTATAGTACAGCTAGTTACCCGTATGTTTGAAACTCGAGCGTTGCGGTGTATGGGTGTAATGTACACGATTTTATTTTAATTTTAATTTTTTTTAAATTTTTGAATAAGATGCTCTACTTGGCCTCTTTTTGGCTACGATAGTTTAATAATTTGTTAATATCAATACTAATTATCATTAATGAAATAATAGTCAGTCAGAGGGCTTATTTTATGGTAATAATAGTATTCTAAGGCTGAAGGTGGCGCTTTCCTTCGGCGGCCATCTTGGATGGTACACATACACAACTCTGCATTTCTTCGCCATCTTGTTAGCACTCAAGTTGTTTAATAGCTCTATGGTTATTATACGCCGGTAAGTCTCTCTGTAACACGGTGATGAACGTTTGTCCCTAAATTTGATGGTTTTCACTGTCTGTTTCCAAACTTTAAAGAAGTGTTAATATGCCAAATTATGGCGACTGGAAGCTCATTTAATTTTATTTAGAAATAATGTGCTATGCTAAGGGGCTACTGATAGGCCAGAGAGCGCGGAGGAGCTCTCCTCTAGGCGGAAGTCGTGCCCAACGTAGGCGGCGCCCTTCTTTTTAACCATGCAAGTTTCCTATACTTCGTGCTCTCTGTAACACGGTGATGAACGTTTGTCCCTAAATTTGATGGTTTTCACTGTCTGTTTCCAAACTTTAAAGAAGTGTTAATATGCCAAATTATGGCGACTGGAAGCTCATTTAATTTTATTTAGAAATAATGTGCTATGCTAAGGGGCTACTGATAGGCCAGAGAGCGCGGAGGAGCTCTCCTCTATCAGGCTAGGCTAGGCCTATACTACAGTATAGAATAGATAGGTAGGCCCTATGCTACTCTCTCTATGATGCAGTAGGTCTAGGCCTATGTCGTGCATAGTTTGACCCGTTTGCACAATTTGGAAATTGTACAACCAAATCCTTGCACGGTTTGCAAACTACACGTTTCCTTCCACAATCTGCAAACTGTTCAAGAATTTCTTTGCACAGTTTATTTGAAAACTGCAAGAGTGTGCAAGGAGAATGCTGCACAGTTTAAAATTCGCGACAAATTTGCAAACTGTTCTGTTCAGGGGTAGCTTGTGGGCGTTTTAATCGATTTGCACATTTTAATACTATCTTAAGCTACTGACTGTTCTTTTTTTTTTTAATATCGAGTGTCTGCTTAAAAACAGGGCACGGCCCTGTTGGGTTGGTTGGAAAGAAAAGAGGGTGATCATCAGAGTATTTTGTGTGGACGTCAGGTGTCCCAGTTTGTATTGTGCTTCTGACATAACCGAGTGGAGTGAAGATGTTTGCTTTCCAATCCCAGGGTGTCCTGGATTCTTCAACTCCTGTCACAATTTTTTTCTCATTACCAAAGCAACTCCACTCCCTAAGCCTCATAGTAAGACTTAGTTTTTATGTAGAGTGTTGTATGTGTGTTTGACTTGTGACGGGAAAACTTTGAGGAGGAGTGATTAAGCTTATTGTTTGCCATATCCTTGGCCCTAGTTCCTAAAGCTGAATAAAAACTTTAGGTTAGTTAGGGACCATGTATGTGTCAGTCTGTATCTGTTTGATGTTGTAGAGTAAGTGGGGTAGTTGGCGCCGAGCTATGGCAGCCGAGGTTCCCGAGGACCCAGTCCGAATTCCCAGTGTGTAGGCATACATATATGAGGACAAATAAAGAAATATTATTATTATTTTTTGTTTAAAATACCATCGTAGTTAAATTACATACATATGCAATAATGTTTTAATGGTTTTGCTATCATTGTATAATCAGTATTTTGTATCATTAAGACAATTTTTATTATTATTATTAATTATATGTCATATGATGAATAAAGACATTGAATTGATCATGTAAAAAAAAATCAGCAGACAGGCCTTTATAAAGGTTAGACAAAGTAAAAAGTTAAAAGGTTTATTATTAATTATATTTTTTTAATAGGTAAGTGGCAAACAGATTTTACACAGCCATGGGAGGCCGTGGCCGAGGAAGAGGAAGGGGATCAGCCTTGTCCTTTACGGCAGAAGTATTGGGTCTTGGCCGAGGAGGAGACTCCTTACCAACAGCTGTTCTGCAACCTCCGCCACTGTTTCCTGTAAGTATTGTGCAATAATGAAACAGGGTTTGATAATGAAGTAGTCCTTATGAAAATGTTTGTTATCTTTAAATCCTCTTCCAAATTGTTACTTTGTGTATAAAATTTTATATAAGATAATTATTGATTTGAGGCTAAATTTTGTAAGATTTGTTTACTGTCAATTTTTGTATTAAAGCAAAATATATTTATCTTTCCTTTTACTGTATTTTTCCCTGAAGCCACTGGAATATAAAGCTCTTCCACTTTTGGCTGGTGAGGCAAGGGAGTATATGTTGGCCTTAAAGCAGGAATTCAGAGCGTCATCCAAAGATTCACCATTTTTTATCAAACCACAAAACAAAAAGAAAGGTAAGTTGAGTGTAGCAAAGGTGCTTGCCTTATTATCTCCTATCATATCATTTTTTTTGCCTTATAGATATAATAGGCATTTTCGTTTTGACTACGCGGCCAGACTACTACAAAATAATGGAGCGTGACGGCAACGCCAACATGCTATTCGTGTACTACACCAAGAGCTGTTTTCGTTTTTTAGGGAGACTACGACGATGCAGCACACACATGTACAGAGGGGAGTTAGTCGACCATGGTTTTACCAGGGAACACTGTTCCCTTGTTTTATACAGTTGAACTTGCCGAAGTCTATTGTTTATAAAAGTCATCTATTAGTATTATATGCCTGAAACAATACAATACAAAGGGAACAAGAATATCATCATCATTAGGGAAATATATACAATATCTTCAAAAAATTTCATCTGGTTTCAGTGTACATTATATACAATAGTGTTGAAGTGTAACACAATCTGTCTTAGTGTCACTACGAAAAAAACGTGCATTGCATTAAAGTAGCCTAACAACGTCAAGGACCATTTGTCTATTTCTACATACATAGTCAGTGGAGGATTTGGGGGTGGGGGGAGCCGGGCCGGATACTTGGAAATTTGTATTACACTATCTTACCGCTAGTAGGTGACATAGCTATGAATAAACTAAAGATCAAAGCATTCTTACCCTACTGATCAAAGCTACCTACAAAAATAACGAAAGCTCCTTTGAAGCCTTCAGCTTATTGTTAAGCAATGGGTTTAGCCTACATATAGCAAACGCTTTTTTAAACAGTAGTATAGGCCAATTTTGCGAACTGTCAATAATGTTAGTATTAGAAAATATTAAACCTAATTTATTACATACATTACAGGCTACATTATCATTTTCAAGTATACCTTGTAAACCTAAAACATATTGGAATGCCTCACAATTTTGTATATGATCATTTATAGACACTATCAGATTGTGAAGAATGTTCTTTAAGTCTAGTTATTAAGCATCAATCTGTCTTACCAATATAATCACTATTACAACCTGGACATTTAAAATGATAAACAACAGAGCTCCTATATTCCTTAGGGGTTTGATCTTTAGTAGATATAAAATGAGAGAAATTTTTGTACTGCCATAATGTTATGAGTTTACCTCTTTAACTAAGTGTTTCTTTACTTTGTTTAAGCATCTACGTAAAATGGATTCACCTGCCTTTCCTAGGCAATCTAACCCAGATCTTAATCAAGCTATCATCAGTAGGCCTATGTATACATTTAGGTTCATTTAATTATTTGGTTACTTTTTGCTTTTCTTGTCATACCTTGGATGTTTGTATATATTTTTGTGTACAGTATGTATTGAAATGTTTACACTCAGCAGAATTTCTGTATTTTGGAAAATAAAACAAATCCTGAATCTTGAATTATTGTTATTGTTGTTGTTATTATTGTTGTTATTATTATTATTGTGATTTACCTCTTTTAAATTTTCATCCTGTTTTTCTTGTCTCTGTGTTGTTGCCACCCTGCATGTGCCTTTAAGCTGTGACCTGGGTTTTTTGTGTCACATTCTTTTTATTTTTTTTAATAAAAAAATGATTTTACTATTAAATTCATAAAAGAATAACTGTATGCTTCTTCAACAGATATTGACAGATACTCTGACAAATACCAGGCCAGTGGATTAAACTCAGATAACACACAATGGTCACCTGATTGGTCAAGACTTCCAAAAGAACTTCAAGTAGGAGTCAGAAAGAAAAAACGTAAATGCCAACAGAGCTTACTTCTTGTCTTAATTTTTTTGATTTGCTGAGAGAAAATCTTGAAAAAACCTCATATTCCATTTTAAAATAAAAGTTATCAAAATCCAAAGACACAAGATTAAAACAATTGTAAGAATATATATATTTCATCTGGTTCCATATGTATAGTAGGAAAATTCTCTGTTTAGTTGAAGGTAACTAATTTGTTCAACAAAACAGATAATTTTCCTACTATAGGAATATAGGAACATTATTATCTAATTCATTTGTAAATTGGTATGGAATATATTTGCTTTTTGTAATTTTATGTTGAAAGTTAATATTCAGGTAATTTTATAAGTCTTAATTTCGGTAGTGAGTAATGTTTTATTATAAATAGCAGACATGGAGCAGTGTTTGTTATTGTTGTCGGTGAGTTGAATGTGGTGGAACAAGTCCTCTTGGATATAAGGACTATAAACTGTAGGCCCAGGGTACACGATTGACTTATGTACAGTTCAAAGAACCCAGACAAGTAGGGGGTTAATCCAGTCTGCAGACGAGTAGCTGGTACCAGCTTACCGGGTAGCTCAGACTCGAAGAAACCCTTAGGGAAGAAGCAAGTTACTGTACGAGGTAGTCTAGGCCTCTGGTGCTTTGAAACTTTACAGTATAAAGTGCCAACTGCAGTACATTACATTTTACTTACTGACGATTGGGATTCGGGGGTGGGGGAGCGAGACACTATATTGCAGAGACGAAGTCTACTAGCCATGTTGGGGGTCCTTTTTTTTTTCAAAGGAAGGGAGGTGCAGTAGATTAAAGGCAGATTCAAGAAAGTGCCAGCACCTCCCCCTCCCCCACCTAATTTTTTTTAAAATGAAAATAAAATGGTGGGGGTGGAATTTACATTCAAATATATATGTATGTTTGAGAGGTGTTCTGGACACTTCATTTGTACACTTCACTCCCTGTGCCTCCTCTAATTGGAATTCCTGGATCTTCCTTGGTGGTTGTTAGAAGTTTTTGAGGCCCGACCTGCGGTCAACATAGTCACTGCTACATTCAAATAAAAAATACCCTTAAAATATTTGATATGTTATATTTGCATTTAATTCATTATATCATCAGCATGTAGAGTTAATAAAATCCAAACTCTATTTACATTTGAGTGCTACTTTTCTTGTGTATGACCAAAATCAAAAGGAAATATATTATAGTATATTATTGCAGAGAAATTACTTTTTTTTACAGGGAGCATAAGACCAGCTGTTAAGAAAACCATTCAAGATAAAGAAAAGACAAAAGAAATTGAAAATAAACTAAAGGTAAGTGATTTTTTGACTGTTTTTCTGTTAAGCCATAAATCAAAGAGTATAGAAACTAAAGAGAGCAAAGTATGATTGTTGTGAGCGTAAACAAACAATACACCCCTGTACGCAGCTATGAGAGGACAGCTGCTGTGTTCGGTTGTCACTTTTAGTTGCCAAGTAGTCCCTAGCACAGATTATATGTTTATCAGTGTTCAATATAGGCAATAGTTGGATTAATGTTACTATTTTCAGAAACTAATGCATTAGAATATCTTACGTGGGGACGCACTTCCATGAGACAACCAAATGCGGCGGGGCATTTTATAAAGACGATGGCGACTTCCATCGTTACTAGTTAAAACGGAACTGTGCTTTCACTGAGATGGAAGGAAGATCATAATGACTCATATCCTCAAAAGTCCAAGAGACAGTAATATCAGGAGCAGAACCTGCTGTAACTGTATTTTATATAGTACATTTTAGTACTCACCTTTGTAGCAAAAGAGAATCCTAAAAACCAGCTAATATACCTGCTGTTATTTTTAGGAATTGGAAAAGAGGGAGGAGGAAGGATCTGGAAAGGAAGATGAAGAAGAAAAAGAAGAGAAAGAAGGAGAAGCTGTAGAAGATGATGAAGAATTTTATGATGAAGAGGAAATGGAAGAGGTAGGTCATTTTTACTGGGGGACGGTTGTAGTGAGTTTAAAATTACCTTTTATTATTGTGCATGGAAATGTTTGTGTGTAAAACTTGGGAGAAGCATCATTTATAATCTATAGTAGAACCTCGTTTTTACGTACCCCGGTTATACGAACCCTCGGTTTTACGTACGCCTCGTATCGACAATGACATCATCAAAAACCCCGAAAATATTCAAAACAAACGGCCCTTTTCAGAGCAACCATAAGTAAAAAGACTATAACAATAAACTATAACAATAAACAAACCATAAAATGCAACGTATTTTCATTAAACAGCAACGTTGATTGAGTCTAATACCCAGTTGTTATAATCTAAAACCACGTGAACTGAGTGAGATGAACAACTACCGATGGTGCTCAAAATAATTGCTTTCCTGCCTAGCTTCGTGTGGCAAACCATGGAAAAACTTGTCTGGTCTAATTTTCTACAAGAAGCTGAGTAGGCATAGTTTCGTACACGAATGCTAATTGGTTGGCTCGCCCAGTGCAGTGCACATGGTTTTGCTGTTTCATGTACACGAACGCTAATTGATTGGCTAGCCCAGTGCACATGAGTTTAGTTTGTCTCAACAGGCCCAGACAACACCACAGCTCTGTTGTTTAGAATAGGGCATGAAGGGAATTCCCAAGTTATACCTTTGTCGTATAGGAATCTTACAATATTTTCATGTTCTTTAGTTAAATAAAAGACATAAAGTGATGAATTAAGACACTAGACACATGGTTTTATTTGAAACACTTTATTATGACATCGTAAAGTGATGAAAAAAAACACTAAACACATGGTTTTAATTGTAGGCCTAGAGGCTAGGTCTGGCCTAGCTAGGTAAAATCGTTCGTTCATACATACGTATATTGAGCATTACGTAGGTATTAGGTCAAAGGTTACCACAAATTTAACCCAACCTCTATTTTACGAATCCCCCGATTTACGTACGCCCTCCAGTCCCGTACCGTACGTAAAATCGAGGTTCTACTGTATTTCCATGTTTCTAATGGTGGAGCCAGGATTTGCCAGACGGAGGTTGATGTGTCTGGTCGGCAGTAGTGCAAGTAGGCAGGGTCTGGAGTTACCCTGAACCACTCACATAGGGTTCACAGGAAAAGCCTAGGGATTTCCTACAATTTATGAATTTGAAAGCTTATTTATATAAAGGCAGAGTATATTGAGCTGTTTAATGATTGTTCATTTAAATAGCAGAGTTTCAGTGGGTAAGATAAAGATACACTTTGCTTTGTCTACTTACAGGGTACAGACTATATTGTTAGTTACTTTGACAATGGAGAGGAATTCGGTCTTGACGATGATGATAATTTAGAAGATGGGCCTGTCTATTGAAAGAGGTTAAGATTCCAGGAATTTGAATGATCAGCTGTCACTCAAATCCAGATTGACAAGGTGTTGGAAGCAGTAGTGGATATAGTAGGCGAAGTAAAGCATAGCATCCTCCTCCAATACAGGATTGTACTTCCAAGGTCTTTTGGATCTGTGGATGTTGTAATGAGACGTCACAAAAATATTTGGAAAGTATTTGCTATGGAAGAGAATAGGCAATTACCTAATACAAGGATATCAACAACAATCCTACTTGCATATGAGGATATGTAATTACAGCCAATGATGGGATAAAGTTCAGGATGTTTGCTTGTACAAGGAACATTGAAAGAATTGCAGGCCCATCCAAATATTACTTGATTTTATTGAACTGTTACTGTAATGATAAACATTGTTTTTCAAAGTATACTTTGTGAACCTCACTTTTGTATGATTGTAAATACAAATATACAGTTTCAATTACAGTACACTACTGCATAGCCATAAATATATTACTTTCAGTTTTATTATAGCTTTAATTAAAATGTGTGAACTCATTTAGATAAAAGTCAGCCAATAAGTGCAACCAAGTGTGAAATAATTTAGATTGAAATTGCTCTGGAGCTTTCAAGGAAGCATCTTCCTCACTATATGTATGAGAATACCCCCAACCCACCCTTGTGGATCATTGGTTTTTGATTGGCACTAACACCACATCTTCCTCACTATATGTATGAGAATACCCCCAACCCACCCTCGTGGATCATTGGTTTTTGATTGGCACTAACACCACATCTTCCTCACTATATGTATGAGAATACCCCAACCCACCCTCGTGGATCATTGGTTTTTGATTGGCACTAACACCACATCTTCCTCACTATATGTATGAGAATACCCCAACCCACCCTCGTGGATCATTGGTTTTTGATTGGCACTAACACCACATCTTCCTCACTATATGTATGAGAATACCCCAACCCACCCTCGTGGATCATTGGTTTTTGATTGGCACTAAGACCACATCTTCCTCACTATATGTATGAGAATACCCCAACCCACCCTCATGGATCATTGGTTTTTGATTGGCACGAACACCACATTAATGACAAATTAAAGCAATTTAAGAAATTCTTATATTTTCTAAGGCGGCAATAATAATTCATTAAAAAAATTATCATTTTGAATGTTATATTATTTATAACATGTTACAATATTACAAATATTTTTTTTTCTCAAATATTTGGGAATGAACTGAGCATTCAGTATTTATAGCACGTAATATTTCTCCTGATGCAAATGCCATCAGAATGTTACAATAGTGATATTTCCATTAAGTATAATGTATAAAAACTATGACCAAGCAGATTTCATAATCAAATCTGAATATACACTAAAATCAATGAGTTTTTACCACTGAGAATAAAATGAGAAATTACCAGCTGTAGGCCTATTTCATTCAAGATTCATAATTTTTAGGAGACACCTGCAAACAGTATTGTAAAAGAGTTAATTTATCTAATTTCCTACACAATCAATATTCAAATTTACATAGTGGGTCAAGGCAATATATTATTGAGATTTTTCAAGGAACTTTGGTCTGGTTTTGGCCTATACCTGCTATTCATTTGCTCTAGGTTTTTTTTTTATGGTGATTTGATATACCCAGTACACATTTTGCTTATTGAAGGGGCCACTCAGCTGATCTGCCGCCTCTTAAGGTAGCCAATAAGAGTGTTGCTCTATGTGGGTCTTTGAATTGAGCAATTTTACATTTTGGGTGGCACCGGCAGTATAAAACAACATTACAAATTTATAGAAAAGAACTTGAAAAATAATGCAATAAAGCCAAGTGGTTTGGTTTTAGTAGTTAATTCAACAGACTGCTTTTGGGTGGAAATATCAAAAACATTACAATTCCTAATTTATAGAAAAGAAATTGAAAAATAATGCAGTAAGCCAGGTGGTTGGTTTAGTTATTTGTTTATTCAACAGACTGAATCACTAACTAGTAATTGTATCGCTGGTTTTCTGTTTTTGAAGGTTGGGTTTAAAGTGTACTGTACCTCCAATAATCATTATCCAAGGGTCATTATTAATATGTGATATTTTTTAGGGAAGGTATGTCATTGCAGTACTCTAGCACCCAGCTAAAATGCATAAAAGATGCAGTGATGCAGCTCATTATAATGTCAAGTCACTGTGCAAAAGCCTCCCAAAAATATATATCGATATGTGGCATTGGAAACTAGTAAATATACTATATACTACATAAGTTAATACTTATTTGCTGGGCTTCTCATTTTTGTTGATGTTATTGTCAATATTCAATATCAGTATTACAGCTGTAGAACAAGTCAAACATTGTCAATATTTAAATTTCTTGATTGTACTTTATTAGTCATACAATATAATTTGTGTTTTTTTATTTACAACCATATATCATAAACTTTTTAAAATACTATGCTTCAATTTTAAAACCTTCATACTGTATGATGCCTGTTGAAAGAAATACTCTTTATACCTCCATGATTTTCACACTGAAAAACAAATTTTTATGTACTATAAAGATAAAATATAACATAACCAGTACAAGTATAGCATTGATAAAAAAATTATCAAGGGGAGAAACCTACACCAATGTTGGTTGGAATAACATCTCGCACAGTTGGCCAGACCATTCAAACCTCCAAGTGAAATTATGCCTTTTGGGCTATCATTTGGCCCTGTGTACCTAAGATTAGTAAGTACTAGAATAATTCATTAAAATTTTGAATAAAACACACACATAATTCAATTTAAAGAAACCTAATGATTGTATATTAGCAGTAAATGGAAAATTTTAATTAAGATAAATTCAAGCATGCACGGTTAGAAAAGGGTGCTGTTCAGAAAACCAAAATCCTTGAATTGCTGATTTATAGTTACGGTAACTTCCAATAAATCACAGATCAAAATAATTATTTGAATGATATTGTGTGAATTTCAAATGTGAAAATATTTGTTTATTTTAACTCAGCTCAGACAGTGTTAATGACCGAATGCTCCCCTTTAATTAACTAGTGAATACTTGTTTTATCAATACTTCATATTATTTAATTTTAAAAAACATTTTACACAACTTTGCAGAAGTATGCTGATCAAATTTATCAGCACCCTTCAATAAAATTAATATGAATTGTAATATTTACCAACTTCCCTCTTATAAAAATATAGCGGTGGGCTCAGAGGTGGCATCTTCCCAAATTTTTGCTGCCCAACTGACCAATCGAACCATCAATAAGAACATGCTTTTGTTCCACAAACGTATGTGAGACCTTAGCAACAAGGGGCGGGGCTTTGTGGAAGGTGCATTGTATATCATTCCATAATATTTATAATTAAAACTTGTCTGATATCTTAATAACTTAACATCAATAATAAATGAAGCATTCAAACATACAGGAAATTAACAATTTATAACATTTAACTAAAATAGTAAGAAAAAAAATATTGCAATATTGACAAGTCTGAAGAGTTTATATTGAGTTGATCATATGTGAAAATGATACATTTTTAATTTAACTTTTAAATTAACAAACCTAAAAACATTTTTTAAACTTTAAATTAACATTGCAGGAAATTCAGATATAATTCACTATGGACTGGCTGAATTTAAATTTTAATAATCATAGTGTAACAGCTTTGACCAATTAACAATCTATAGGGACACTCCTATTTACCCAATTGAAGAGTAAGCAGATGATGTAATGATATGTCAATCAAAATGTGTACAGTATACTGTATTTTACTGCCTGAATAATGAGATGTATCATTTTTAGAAAATAAGTTAAAAAAAAAAATCAGTTTGAAAGTAACCCATTTTACTTAACAGTTTACATTTATGTGCTACGTGCTCTGACCATGTGTTGTATTGCTTTGATGTTCTTTGCTTTCATGTATCGACCAAGCATAATAAAAAAATGCAGGTATAAATATTCCTATAAAAAAAAATAATATAACCATTGTCCACCATTTTAATCCACATGTTGCTCCGTCACAAAATGTCTGCCGATTGTTTGGCTGGAAGGGATGTATACGTTTCTCAGTCAACATCGACAGCACCTCGTCTAATGACTCCTTCTTAGAAGATGTTGCTGTCTGAATACGTTTCAAATCACGATCCATGTTTCGTAAGAACTGTTTAGCTTCGCCATCGCAAATGGCGTCTCGTATACTAATTTTTCGCACACTAAATAACTCTTCCTCCTCATCATCTTCATCACTAAAAGTCCTATATTCTTCCAAACCGGTTGAATTTGATGGTCCGGCTTGATCATCACCTTGTAACTGCCTACGCTTCTCCTCTTCTTTAATTTCTGTTAAGAGTCCATGACGCTTTACCGGAATTTTTAATTTTGTTAATGCATAAAAATCTTGGTCTTTAATCAGATTATTAATTCTTTTTAACTCAGAAACCTGAAAAAAAAAAAAATCTGATTTTAGAAAGGAAAGTACTGAAATCAGGATGCAGAAGAAGTTAAGAATAATCAGAGATGAACAGAGAAATATTTTCAATTAATTTATACATGGATGCAAAGGAATTAATGGGTGATATGGATGCATACCTGTAATAAGAATAAATTAAAGACAAATTATTTTTAAATTTAAATCTTGATTCAAATTATAACATGTGATGTTGATTTAAAAGGCATCATTTTAACATAAACTCATATTGGTATGCAGTATACAGTATATAGTACATTCTAAAATTTAATATTTAAAAAAAATTATACAGTATGCATCATAGATTTCATGAATTTTAATACAAGCTTGTGATACACAGATTACTAGATATAACAAATTACCCATGTCATAGGACAGTTAATCAAATATTGTAGTGTTCAAAATATCAAAGATTTCACTGTTGTCTGTCTGAAAAATATCAGAAAATAGAGTGGTACATTAGACAGAGTTTACAACTATGAATTCAAACATTTATTCATCTACAGTAATGCATTCAATTCAATGTATTCATTCAATCATTATTCATTCAACTGTAATTCAATAAATGTTTTAATATCAACAGTCATATGCAAATATATCACTCATAAATTTGCATCTATTTATAAATTCACTGAAATAATTTCTCTCTTGATTTTTCATAATTAAAATTTTCTGTCATTTTATTACAGGTAGCAATCATGATGTGTATGTAAACTTGTATTGTCAAATCATTCATCTACATATTGAATTTGAGTCAAATCGGACCCAAGTCAACTCGGACCCAGGTCAACTCGGCCCCATGTCAACTCGGTCCCATGTCAACTCTGCCCCATGTCAACTGGGCCCCAAGTCAACTTGTCCCCAAGTAGTTAACTCAACCCCAATTTACTGTGTATTTACTAAATATTTACCAAAAGAGATTTGATTGCAAAGTCAAAACTAAAGTGTTTTATATCGTTGCTTTGTTTTTCTTTTCATTTACACTTAACAATAATTAAAAATGCATTTATAAAAATATTAAAAATTTTAGTGAGGGTCCTCTGGACCTACTGTAACATTTACAGGTATGTGTGTGTGTGTATATATAGAAATCATGATATAATAGATTGAAAAATTTAAACCGTTTTTATAATTATATATAACAAAATAATAAGAAACAAATACCATAATTATGTATGGACTTTAGTGGAGAAAACCAATATTTAGACCTATTCTTAGGTATATTTAAATGCCCTGTATATATATACATTATATGATAAAGTAATACTGTATACATTTTAAATATTATATGTATATATACATTATATATGTATATCATTTACATATATATACATATACATACAGTATGTATATAAATCATTATATAATAGGTAAAATCTAAACCATCTTTACAGTATATATAAAAATAAGAAAAGAATACCATATAAAAATCATATGGACTTTAGAAACACTTTATTGTAGTAGTATTTAAGTATTTCCGTATATATATTTAAAAATGCCTAGTGTATGTATATATATATATATATATATATATATATATATATATATATATAAACTAAATCAATGAAGTGGTTAAAAACAGTACCATAAGGCGAAAGTAGTGTCGCTAAGGGGCAACTAAAGCGACGTTAAGGGGCAATCATCGACAAAAGAATTTCCCCTTAAGAGCCGAATAAAGGTAGTATATATATATATATATATATATAATGTATATTTAATATGCCTGTAAATCAGTATTTGTTCATATCGTTATTATCATTAGTTTTTATGTTATGTCTGTTTTATTAATATTATCTAAATATTATTTTCATTAATGCTGGTTTTATTTTTTTTTACACTGAAAAAAAAGAATAACAAGGGCAATGATTTATAAATGCATTATTATTATTATTATTAAAACACTTTAATTTTAGCATAGTTTGGCTTTGCATTCAAATTTCTTTTGGTAATAATTTCGTAAGTAAATTGGGGCCGAGTTAACTACTTGGGGCCGAGTTAACTACTTGGGGCCGAGTTGACTTGGGGCCGAGTTGACCTGCTTCCTACATACAGTATTCACACATCAATGTCTACAAACAGTACTGTACTTGCAGTAAAAAGTCACCACTGCATTTGTTTCTAACACCTGATGTTTTCATCCCCTGGAAATCATGAAGTTAATTAACTTTAAGTAGTGACTAAATTATTAGAATTATCTATTTAACAAGGTGGAAAATGAGCAAATAAAAAACCATGACAAACAGCAGCACAATAGAACATCTTTAAAGAATGCCAATGGAAGGAAACTGTTACATAGAATTTTGAAATATTATTTTTTTTTTGCAGATCTTTACTCAATGCCTATTTAAAATCCAATGAATGATCCAAGAAATTCTTTTTCCAATCATCTAATAATAATTGGGTCAATTCTTATCTGAATGTTTGTTTAACCTTACACTTAGTGGGCGATATTATAATATTATCTTATCAGTATCCTAGTTTTTGATTGAGGTATCATCCGTGCAATTAAACACTTTACAGACACAGTAAGAAGACTGTGGCGTGATAATTCTTTAAATTGGTATACATACGGGAACTGAATATTGTAATGCAAATCCTGATAAACTGTCAGATGGTCTGATTTCTCTCTCCAATAAAACATGTTCATTTGATTCCTTTTTTACATGATTCTTCCCTCGTTTTAATTTTTTCTTTCTAGTTCTCAATTGCGTCAGTTCAATCGAGTTATCATCATCCACATTAACCTCTTCATCTGACACATCTGCGTCACCAAATATATAGACTCTTGCATTCGGTACATTCTGAACTTGTCCTGATGCTGGTAACAGTCTTGATCGTTCATATTCGAAACCAGACGAGTGGGTTTTCATCCCAAGAACGCCTACGGACATTGCGGAATATCGCCGGTCGCTAAGGTCTCTAGACGGGTGCTCTAGCCTACCTCCGCTAGGCTAACCCCTTAAGCCTTTAAGGCCTAGGTTAGTCAAGATAAAACCGCAGATTAAGCAACAGACAGAAACGGTTGAACATGAATAACCGACTGTTCTGTACTCAAGAATGTTACTGTTACAACAGACATATATTCGTAACCATTTTTGTAACACGTTAATTAACAACAATACAACAAAATATCTACTGCATTCTAACTTTCCTATCTTTCGCCATCATCCATCATTATTCCCTCCACGCATACACAATATTACTTCCGGGGTTAAAGTTAAAATTATTATACGGATGTACGTCGTGACCATGGTCGTGACCAAGGTCGTGACGGGAAAACATCTTTTCAAAATTAAAACAGCACACAACTATGAAATATCATAGTTTAAATATTTTTTTGAAAGAATAATTACCTACAAAATATAAACTACTTTTATATTTAATTCAATCATACTAATGTTATTCTAGAAATGTTTTTGAATATTATAATAGGCCTATCCTATGTTGAATGTCCGCGAAAATTGACAGATTGGTTTTGGTGTCGAATGTCAGTTCGAGTGCAAGCTTTTTTCGAGCGGTAAACAATTCGAGCGGATGATACATGATCCAACGCTCTCGTCACACGCTCGAGTGTTTGGTAGGACATGAGACTTGGCGCAATATTTTGTTCTGCTTCTGGGCGTAAATAAACAATTATTATTTCCTTGGGATTAGGAATTTACAAGCTGTTTTTGAAAGGATATTGGATATTAGCGCCAATTGGTAAGTTATTTTGCCTAAAATAAGATGACCTAGGCCTAGGGGGGCCTAGGCCTAGTCGGCTCGTCGTAGCAAGGACAAGAAGGAGAAGGCGGGACCTTGCCTAGTCTGGGGAGCAGCCTCTAGCAATTAAGATGTTATTTTAACGATAAGATTTGTTAGGCCAGGGCGCGATTTTTTTTTCCGTACGAAACATTTGCATGAAACTTCACTCGGGCCATCTCGGATTGACTCGACTAAGTTCGATACGTGGAACAAGAGCAGACACTTCGCAATGTCGTGACGCTCGAGTTTTACTATTATTGCTCTTTCTATGTTTATCTACGGTAGGCCTATGATATCTTAGGGATTTATGGGATGTACGTGTGTAACTAACTGTGGCCTTCTTGGATGTTTATTAAATGTTAGTATAATATCTACAACAACAACAGCTAGTACCCCCTTTATAAAGTGTTGATAGGTACAGTAATACCAGAGGCTAGAGAGAAAGAGGATAAACATGGGCCTAACTACAGGCTAAGATAAGTCCTACCTAGTATAGGCCTAGGGTCCTAGCTAGGCTGACACCAACAGTCACGCTTTACATACAGACGTTGATTGAACTTTTGAAGAAAAAAAATGGAGAAAATTAAAAAATGAAATAAAAAATAGAGTGCATAAGAGAAATATTATTAAATAAATAAAATATACCATTCGGCGGCGTTATTGAACTTGACCAAACTATCCTTGTAATGTAATTAATGTTAAATAATAATAATAATAATAATAATAATTTCAGCGTTAATTACCTTGACCTAAGCCTTGTAATGAAGAACCATACTATTTACTAGGCCTATAAATAATAACTAGCCCCAGGGGAAATATCTATTTCCCTTAACGTCGATTTTTTAATTGTTCTCTAATTCCTCCATTGTCTAAGTTCCCCTTAAGGTAGGCCTTCGGGTTGGTTTTAGTAACATAATAATAATAATAATAATAACAATAATAATTTCAGCATTAATTACCTTGACCTAATCCTTGTATACTATTTACTAGGCCTATAATTAATAACTAGCCCAGGGGGAATATCTTTTCTGTTATTTCCCCTTAACGTCCATTTTTTTAATTGTTCTCTAATTCCTCGATTGTCTAAGTTCCCCTTAAGGTAGGCCTACAGGTTGGTTTTAGTAACATAATAACAATAATTAATAATTAATAATAATAATAGTAATAATAAATAATCATTTCGGCAATACATGTAATTAACCTGGTCTATAGTCTTGTAATCAAGAATCTGCAGATTACTATGCCTGATATTAATAACTAGGCTTAGGTCGATCATTTACCGTATTGGTGCTCTGCCATTTTGGCAGGTCTTATGGCATCCAGTATTTTAGAGCTGCCTCTTTTCAGCTCTTCTCTTAATTTGAAAATAACTGTCACCCTGTTTCGTTTGATCAAACGCCCCGAGAAACGCGCTTTTCCTTACTCTTTGTGCTTTCCCCAGAAAGCGTATATTTTTTGTAGTTAGGCCTACGTACCTAGGTATGCAAAACCCAGACCTTACTAAAAAATAAAAATTGCCACAGTATGTAACTCAAATTAAATAACACTTTTTTACTCGTGCAGCTCAATCAAATATTATGTCATTTTAAACGACCCATTAGTATTAGCATGGTAACATCAATGTATTTTTAAAAATCAGACAGCGACGTTCTCTCAGATCAGAAGTTGTTGATGACCTTTTGACCTGAATTCTGCAATACTGTATGAGATTTTCGGGTCGATTCAGTCGAGACGGCCCGAGTGGAGTTTCATGTAAATGTTTCGTACGGAAAAAAAAATCGCGGCCAGGGCAGGCCTAGGCCTAGGTAGGCCTACAGGAATTAGGCCCATATCGGCCGCTACCTATAGCGGCCGCCCTCCAGAACGGCCGCCAATGTGTGTATATGTATGGAACGCCGATGCGATGACGCATTCACAATGCAGTACATTGTAGTTAAATGGTTTGGAAAAGACTGGATGTATAACAAATAAAAAGAAGAGGGCCAAGAACGCTACATTGAGGAACACCATGTTTAAGGGGAATTTTATCAGAGAATGCATTACCAACCTTAACAGAGAAATGGCGACATTGAAGATAATTAGTGAGAAGTTTATGGGCTTTTTTTCAGCATTTGAAATTCTTTCCTTGTCTCCGATGACATTCCTGAATTGGCGGCGTACAAAGACTTCGTCTCCGATAACATTCTTGAATTGGCGGCGTACAAAACTTTCTTATTCTCCCAAGAGTATCATTGGACCCTACTTGTGAGAACGTTTCTCACTGAATTAATTGTTACTAGGCAACTTAGTACTGGCAAATTTATACCTATTTAAAGCAATGTATTTCCATTCATGCCTAGATTTAATTATTAATTAATTATTTAAATACTGTAACCAATCAATCACTTGTACTTGGAACGTATAATCGTCTTGCAATAGGTACGCTTGCTTAATCGTACATATATAATTATAATGCAGGATTAATTAATTATATTATAATTATATACTTTATTCTAAGATACAAATCAAGTTTCTTGATAAGTTACAGCTATAGTTAAATTAAATTTCTTCTATTAAAGCAATAAAGTTTCAACTTAGAATATTTTGCAGGATAAAATAAACACTTCTTAACTAAAAATTATGCTAAACTACTTCGTAAAACAATCAATCTTAATAATAAAGTATTTCGCCATACGTTCTTTCAAGAACATAATAAAGTCTTGTTTTGTAAACTGGCATAGGGCCTATTCTATTTTTTCAGTAAATGTTTTCTCATACACGATTTCTAACAAAATGTTTTCGTTACACAACTACTGGAGTAGGGACTCTGGCTAGACAATGAACATGCTTGCTTCATCAGACAAGACAAAAGATATCAATTAACGTCTCCATGGTAACGTTAACTTTTAATCCTACTACTCTAGTATTGTTGCTTTTTATTGAGTAACAAAAGATTGAATCGATAGCATGAATCGTGTACATATTTTGAGTATAATTAATGAAGAAACGAATATCATATGTATGAAATACTTCAGTGGAGGAAACCAATTTTCAACCTATTCTTATATAAATTATATATATATGTATACATAATTAAATATATATGGCCTAAAGGCCTATATAAATTATGATATAATAGATAAAATCCAAACTAGCTTTATATATAATAAGAAACGAATACCATACTTTACTGGAGAAGAACTTCAATCTATCAAACGCTTTGTTTAGAGCAATGGTTTTATTATATTTTTATGATGTTTACAATTCTTAATGTGATTTCAATTTTTTTTTTTTTTAATATTTATTTTTTAAGTAGTTTTATAGTGTGTGTAGGCCTATATATAAAATGAAAAAGAGGGCCGATTTAACCTGCCGGGCCGAGTTGACTGGGCCTAGTTGACTCGAAGGATTTGTATTTAGTGAGCGGTATTGTATTATTAATTGTGAATGCGTCATCGACGTTCCATACATATACACGCATTGGCAGCCGTTCTGGAGGGCGGCCGCTATAGGTAGCGGCCGATATGGGCCTACTCCGGCCTACAGGTATCATCACGCAATTAAAAAACTTTACATTAGTAATTACTTAATTAGTAATTAATTACTGTATGTATGCAGGATAGGCCTAGTGTGTGTAGTTAGTATTGTAGAAGGCCTTTTTACACTAGGCAGGCGGCCTAGGCCTACATCTAGTTCTACAGTAGGCCTAGCCTAGACCTACTACTACTACTCCTACTATGATTTGTTGAACGTAGGAGGCCTAGCAGGTCAAAGGGCAATGAAAAGTACCAAAACGGCAACAGACCAAAACGGCAACGACAAGTACCTAAACAGCAGACCAAAATGGCAAAATCAATTCCAAGACCATGGAGGTTATTGAGAAGATCACTCGAAAAAGCTAAACACGGCGAAATGGAGAGCACGTCCTTTTCTTAATGCGCATTACTTACCTTACAGTCAATCACTATGGTTGCGCAATCGTTTCCATCTTGAAGCTAATAGGCCTACATTGATCTTCCAAGAAATACCAAACATAATAATATTTTCTAAAAAAAAGAGTTTCCAATTTAATGAAACATTTACATCAGCTTTAAAAGTATGGTATATTGCAACTTGAATTTCGATAAATTGGATAAAACTCGATAATTCTAATTTTAACAGATACAGTATTAATTAAGGAATGACGGAGGATTATAATAACCTAAGTCATTTTAGGGTTAACAAGGCCCAGGGTTAACTATTCGAAAATTCAATCCAATCAGAGTAATTTTCATTTTTACGTTGCCTTAGCTTTATAGTCAAACCAATCGATCTTTAGACACAATTATAATGAACACAGAGTAATTTTAACAGAAATACTGTATTTTCTGTTCCTGAAATATTCACATAATAACATACTAAAAGTCCGAAAAAAATCAAATCAAGAGAACATTTTTCATTATAAAGAAGTTAACTTGTGGCCGAGTTGACTTGTGGCCGAGTTGACTTGTGGCCGAGTTGACTGTGGCCGAGTTGACTTGTGGCCGAGTTGGATCGAATTCCTAGCCTAGATCTACTACTACTACTACTCCTACTATGATTTGTTGAACGTAGGAGGCCTAGCAGGTCAAAGGGCAATGAAAAGTACCAAAACGGCAACAGACCAAAACGGCAACGACAAGTACCTAAACAGCAGACCAAAATGGCAAAATCAATTCCAAGACCATGGAGGTTATTGAGAAGATCACTCGAAAAAGCTAAACACGGCGAAATGGAGAGCACGTCCTTTTCTTAATGCGCATTACTTACCTTACAGTCAATCACTATGGTTGCGCAATCGTTTCCATCTTGAAGCTAATACATTGATCTTTCAAGAAATACCAAACATAATAATATTTTCTAAAAAAAAGAGTTTCCAATTTAATGAAACATTTACATCAGCTTTAAAAGTATGGTATATTGCAACTTGAATTTCCATAAATTGGATAAAACTCGATAATTCTAATTTTAACAGATACAGTATTAATTAAGGAATGACGGAGGATTATAATAACCTAAGTCATTTTAGGGTTAACAAGGGTTAACTATTCGAAAATTCAATCCAATCAGAGTAATTTTCAGTTTTACAATGCCTTAGCTTTATAGTCAAACCAATCGATCTTTAGACACAATTATAATGAACACAGAGTAATTTTAACAGAAATACTGTATTTTCTGTTCCTGAAATATTCACATAATAACATACTAAAAGTCCGAAAAAAATCAAATCAAGAGAACATTTTTCATTATAAAGAGGGTTTAAATCACACACTTTATCGCACAACTGCTGTGCTGGAGCGTACAGTATAACGCATGTCGTTGCCAAGTTGTTGCTAACAAAAAACGCCCGCGCGCGATCCAAAGGCAGGGAACACATTGGTTTGTCGCGTCAAAGGAATCTGTTGCCGAGTGATCTCCTTCTCAATAATACCTCCATGCCAAGACTAACAAGTGCAAGCAGGCGCGGGCCACAGTTATAATTTTCTGAATCGTTATGAAATTGTCGTGATAGGCAAATCGAATATTGCCATCGCTCTTTTTCCCAATTTTAATGTTTATTATTATTGTTATTTCGCATTTTTTGACTCGTTTAGCCTCATTTTGTCTGTATTTGAAAGATTTATTTGTATGTTTTACTGATATTGTTTTCCCATCCCCCCCCCATCTTTTTAATATTGAATTTGTATGACTATTATTATTATTATTATTATTATTTATTATTATTATTAATGATATTATTGCTGCTGCTGCTATTTAGCTTCATTTTTACCGTATTTAATCGTAGTACGCTTTCATGTTTATAATCAGTTTCTGTTTTTTCGTTTTTTTTTCTTTTATGACATAAATTGTTCATCGTTTTGGTCTTGCCGTTTTGTCTTAGCTAAGCTACAGCAGATCAGCTATAATTAATTCCATATGCTTTCTTTTTATTTCAGATTGCAAGAGGATAAAGGATGAGTGGTTCAAACTCGGATTATTTAATGGCGACAGAAGAAAATCTTGTTGTATCAAATCCACATCTACATGTGGAAAGACAGACAGATGTCTCTTGTGCTAGTGATGTCAGAGAACCAAGTATAAAAAGAGATCCTGATGAAAGAGTTGAGGAAAGAATATCAGAACAGAGTTTGTTGACCTCTATGGAAAATCAGAGGACAGATTTTGCCTGTTCAAAAATGGTTCTAACAGATATTCCTTCACTTGTTGACAGTGATAAAAATAAAAATCACTCGGATATGAACAATGAAAGTTCAGAAAAAGATGATATTAATGATTTCGCAAGTGATGACGATTCACATGAAACACTTAGTAAATCTTCAGAGAATATGTCAAACATATCAACTGAAAGTGTAAACCGTTCCTCATGCAAAAGAAAATTTAAGCAGATGAAACATCACAGAAAAAAGAAAAAAAGGAAGTTAAAATCTGGAAATATAGATGAAAAAGGTGATAACAATCAGCCTTCATATTCCTTATACAAAAATGTAGACAAGAAGAAGCCAAATACATCGAAACCTGTTAAGATACCATTTCGATTCTCTCCAAAAAAATCCTGCTCTGGTTCCCGGTTTAAGCGAAAGCTGTTGGACAGCAAACGCAAAAAGTTGAGATTTAAAAGAAGGAAAGTGGAAGGGGAGAGTGACTCAAGTGATGATGAAAGTGGTTTTGGTGTCAACGATGAACTTGAGGAGATGTTGGAAAGCAATGCTGTGAAGAATAACCTCACAGCTATCAATGTCAAAAGTATATTGCATGTAAGTTAGTATATTCATTGGCTTTATTTAAAAGTAATGTCTTTAAAATATAATTTGCTATAAAAGTTAAAAATTAACAAAATTCAAAGTTATTTCAGATCCATTCTGTATACTATGTTGAAAACTATGGTATAGTAAGTTCATTGTTAGAGCTTAAAAGGTGATCTTCATAAATATTGTTGATTATGTACAAGAAAACTTTTAATTTTGTTGTCTACTGCACCATTGTTTATCATTTATCATCAATTCTATCATGTACAGTAGGCCTATTTTCTTTTTATAGATCTGTTCAAATTCAAATTCAAATTTTATTTTTGGATGAACATAAATACAATTTACAAAGAAAGGTGGAAAACCTGCCATCCAAGGATTGTCAAAAAGTTTAAGAGGAAAACTATCAAGTTTACTTCTGAATCTATAATATTTTTAAATGATTATCTGAATGTTTTTGAGTAATCTTGATCAGGGCATTTTAAATTATATATTAATTTTGTAGTTGAATTTTGCCTGGAATGATTATTGATCATGATTGGTATTTTTGATTATGTAGATATTGATAAAAACTAATCAGTTAATCACTAACAAATTAATCATTTTGCAGCATGTGATTACTAATGAACATGTTCTTGCAATGGTGAGGAACACGATGCTGGAAGAAGAGAAGAAAGAACCATCAGGAAATGCTCAAGATGAGGTGGAAGGAGAAGGGATGAATGAAAGTCAGGAAGCTTTGTTTGTATGTGCTGTAATAATAATATTGCCAGTCTTACAATATATAGTGCACACACACAAAAAAATGCTCCAATGCGCTCTGCAACAACAAAAGATGCAGTGACTTGAGACTATTTAATTAAAACTGTTCCATAATGGATGGGCTACCTCTAATGTATTAGTTGTCCAGATCAGGGCTCCACCCACCGATGTCCAACACTGTCACACTCCGGTGCATGCAGGCACTCTGTTAGGCAGTTAGCTGGGCTTTGGTAGCTTCCATTTCAGGTTAGGCCTTCGGCTCTACTACTTTACACTGTAAAAGATAATGTCACTGTCTCGAGTTTAGAACAGGTGAAATCCTCAAGTGACAGTGAATGGTTTTCATGTACAGTAATAATTTAAATAGTAAACATACCATGTACATTTCAGCTTTTAGGCGAGACTTTTTTTTATTCCTTGTTTTGCGTACTTATTTTTTTAAAGATCATCAGAGGAGGGTGGAATAAAAATATAAATAAAATTTTGTTTTCTTATTTAGCAAATAGTTTTGACAAAAATATCCAGAATTAGGAGAAAATAAAAATAAAATTTTATTGGTGAATGTAAAATAGGATGGTTAAATGCATCAAATTTATTTAATTATAAAGAAATCTACATATCTTATCTTTGGAGATTTCAAGGCAGCAGAAGGCGTAATAAAAACTTTTAAAAACTTTTATTTTTTTCTAAACTTTTCACTTTTTTTGGCCAAAAATAAAATTATACTTTTATTCGAAATCATCAATATTTGCAGTCGGCGGGTTCGCTAAACAAGGTATAAAAAGTCCCACCTTACCATCAATAAACTAAAGAGATAAGCAGTGTGTAGACATATAGACAAAAAGTAACAATCATTTTCACATGCAACCAAGTAATCCATGTAAAATTCAGATTCACCTTACCACAAGGCAATCCTAGCTTTACATAAACTTATTATTACTGTACAATACTAGTCCTTAATTTAACTTCAGATTACTTGACAAGGAAAGCTTGTTAAGTTGTTATATTGTAAAATGTTATGTGTGAATTTGGTATTAGTAACAACAGAGGTGTGACAAAAAAGAGTAAAAACAATGAAAATTTCCAAACCGCAATTAAGTATAAATTATATAATTCTAAATCAACGTCTCACTCTTATACTTTTAGGAACCAAAGATGACAAGGTCAAAATTGAAAGAAGTTGTCCAGCAAGCTTGGAATGTAAGTCTCTGCAAGTTGATTGGATCATCTATTTTGTACTGATCATTCCTGAGATTATTTTCATAAAAGATGAACCATTGAATCCCTGGCTTCTATAAGAGGTCTTTTATTATAGTTTGATTTGTTAATATTTTTTCATTTATGAATTTGAGTACTGATGATAATAAAGTACCAATCACATTCATAATTTATTTTATTAATAAGATGTGAATATAATCACTGTAATGATGCTTTCTTCCATAAGGCACCTTATGTTTGGCCTCTGTCCCCTGTGAAAGGCAAGAACGTAGTTCCTCAGTTTGCAGAACTCAACTTCCCTGAAGATTCAGAGGATGATGAAGACTACCAGCCTGACCCGAATGAGGTGAACTGCTTTTTTTATGATTTTTATTTAAGTTTTGATAAATGGAGCTCAGTTATGAGGGGTTTAAACGTAAATACAAAGGGTGATCATTTTTACTTGCAGAGAGGCCATTGGACCTGTGTTAGCCACGTTACTGGAAGTGCAGATGTCTACCGGAACTCATCTGCGGCCACAGGTCATAATGACCTGAAAGGTCCAGTCTCTGGAGGTCTAGGCTAATTACCTCTCTCTGTTTGCATTTAAGAAATTTGTTTGGGAGATGAAAAATACTATACAATGATTGTTAGATAGTCACTTTGATTTAATCTCATGTGGCTTATTCAACCAATCACCATAATATAATATATTTAGGTGTTGTATAATAAATATTATATAATATAGAGTATTTTATAATGCATACTATATAGTTAAATCTACAATTCATTAAGTCTGATTAACATAATAAAAAGTGCAAAGTATCGCATCCCCTAATGTATAAATTACCTCCGCCAACGAAGTTCGCAGGAGGTTATGTTTTCGCCTGGTTTTTTATTTAGCTATTTATTTGTCTGTCGGCATATTTGTTTGAACAGCCTACAACCCATATTTTTTTATCAGAAATTCATCAAACTTGGCCACAATGTTCCTTTACCTAAGATCTAGAGCTGATTAGATTTTGAAAGGCCAGGGTCAAAGGTCAATGCCACAATCAAGGAAAAACTTTTTTTTTTTATTTATTTGTCTACAGCCCATAGTTTTAATCACAAACTTGGTCACAATGTTCCATGACCAAAGATCTCAAAGCATTTGAAGGTTGAAGGGTAAGGGTTAAAGTTCAAGGTCATAATCAACAAAAAACATTTTTTATTATAAATTTGCCGTATAGAAATGTGTGACGTGTGCTAATACCAGCTTGCCGGTAAAGTGTAAACAAACATACCATTATTTTATATGTATATGTGAAAACAGTTTGGTGTAGTGGTTAGAAGAGTGTTCTCCACACTACCAGCCCCTGGTTTTTCATTATGTTTTTTATGGGAACAATATGCAGTGGAAATTTATACTGAGGAGAATTATAATGTGGATAAAGGTATGCACTCTCCGAGTGCCCTCTAGTTATGTTTTCTTTTTAATAAACCCCTTTTTATTGATATCAATGTATACAGTATTGCTGTAATACAATGTTGTAGCCCTTTTGCATCTAGATGCTCCACCTAACCATGGGTACTGATTAAATCTACCATAGTAGAAACTAAAAATATTATTAATGCCAGTAGAGTTGGATTCAAATTCAATTAATATTGCTCATTCTTTTTCTTTACCTTTCAGAAGGAAGAGAGTGATCATGAAAGTTATGTCTCATCCCAAATTAGTGACTTTGGATCACCTCTACCTTCTACACCACTGTCTCGATACAGTTTTTTAGACAACAAGGAAGAAAGTCCCATTATAGCTGAGAATAAAAGTAAAAAAATGACAGAAGACCTTGAGAAGGCTTCAATATCAACTCATCCTCATGTAAAAGGGAAAGTGGATCTGATAAAACCTCTGCCGTCACAACAACAGTCTGACAAAATAAGTGATGATAATAATTTTATGATGATGCTTGATGAGATGGACAAGGAGTTGGACTCGATGAATCAGAACAAAATTGAAATGGTAGGAACCTTTACACTTATTTGTGTAATGATTATTTTATGTAATTATTTTGGTCTATTTAATTGTCGTGGAACACAAGTTTCCACAGAAATATGGAAACGTATGGTTGTAGAAGATATAGAACATGAATAAGAAGATAATCAATGTCTCCCTTTTTAGTTAGAACCACCATGTCACATAACCACCATGCTACTATACATCTCCCTTATTAGAACTACCATCCCGGGTCCCACATCTTCCTCACTAAAATCACCATTCCCTTACCTAGAACCGCCATGACACATCTCACTACTAGAACCACCATGCCACATCTCATTTACTACATCCAATGGCATGATGTTCCCAGAAGTCTTTTACTTAGTTGTCCAGATCTAAACCATCCCACGTCTTTCTCACCAAACCATCATGCCACATCTCCCTTTAGAACCACTCTTTTGATGCTCTCATAGGTGTTTTACTGATTAGTTATTCAGATCCAGTCAATCCTACATCTTCCTCACTAAAACTACCATGCCACAATTTCCATAAGAAACCACCATGCCACATCTCCCTTATACTAGAACTACCATCCCACATCATCCTGACTAAAACTACCATGCCACATCTCTCACTAGAGCTACTATGCTACATCTCCCTTAAAAGAACCGCCATGCTACATCTCCTTCACTAAAACCACCATGACACATCTCCTTACTAGAACCATCATCCCACATATTTCTTACTAGAGCTACCATGTCACATACAAAAAACCACCATACCACATCTTCCTTTATAGAAGAATTGCTGCTGTTTGAAACTATTCTTTTCTGTAGGATAACATTGCAAAAAGAACAAGATCAAAACTAACAATTGAAAATTCATTAGATGAGATAGAGGCATCATTCATTGCTCCTGACATTACTGCCGACATGTATGACTCAGATTGTGAAGATAAAGAGTGGAAGGAATGGCTCAAAGATTTATATAAAGATAAGAAAGGTTAGTACAACATGACACAAGTCATGATGCATAGAAGCTGCAGTTTTTGAATTATGTATTTTTTTTATTGTTAGATCGATTGAGTAAATTGTGTCAGTTGATTGATTGGTTGATCAGTCTACTGATTGGTTTCTTGGTTAAATAGTTGCCTGATTGATTGAATCAATAAGCCAATTCATGGTTTGAACTTCCCAAGAGCATATCCTTTGGTGTCAAAGGTCATTTGACATAAACCTATGTTGTGTCCATGGTGTTTACAGTATGTTGATTGACTTTGATATGAGCATATGCAGTTCTAACTATAAATTATTTAGTTGATTGTTTGATTAAATAAATGATTGATAAGTTTTTGATAATTAAGAGATTGTCTATGGTGTGGTGCTGTCTACAATAAATTGTAATTATTGAAGTTATTGTTGATTACTATAGCAATATTAATTTTACTTTTGTTCAGATAATGAGTTAAATGATACATTTGATGATGAGCAGAATGATCCTGACTTCAACTTCATGGCTAATGAAGAAGAGGTTATTGACACCGAAGAAACAAGAACAGACAGAGCTGTTAGAGTTAGCAGTAAGTTACAACAAGAACAATTAATTCATAGATTTTTTTCACATATAGATGTTCACATCTCGAATCTTTTTTAAGGCTTACGGAATAAGTGTTTTTTTTTTTAGGTTTAAGTAAAATTTCTAGTGTTTCACAGGATTTGAACCCAGTCGTCTGTGATATGAAGGCGGCACCTTCACATCAAGTTACAACTCTTGCTTCTATTTTCATCTTTTCATCCACATTATAACAATCTACTGTACAAATTGATCGTTATTTTTCTACAACCAACAGAAGTTATAGGTTTAAAGAAATAATTAATAATTATACACTGTGCAAACTAACTTGCAATACATTCAGTGGTATTAAGGTGTAATAAAGTATTTTTCATAACCAAATGTACTGTTTGGGCAAATTCAAACCCAAGTATACTGTATATCAAATGTCCTAGAGAGTAGATCTTTGCAATATTGGGATGAGGCAACTAAGAATTACTGGCTAAGGCATCTACTGTAGGTTTGAAGCAAATACAGTTTTTGATAGGTTTACAACCGTGTTTGATGATAAAAGGTAAAGATCCAAAGTGAATAAGCCCTCTGCAATGTATCATCGATTTATTTGAATATGGTGAGTTATTAGTATAATATTTAAAAAGCAATGTAACCAGTAAGTTGGGATGTTGCAAATATGGAGATGTCTAATCAATGCCTTTGGAAGGTTTTTTATTAGAGAGACTGTTCCACCTGATCTCAACAAGTAGCAACACTTTAATCATCACAAATATTGGTAAATCTTTTATCATTAGGATTGGTTGTTACGTTTACAACAAACAATTACTGTGAAAGTGTAGTCTCAATAGGATATAAGTTTAGTGTGTGTGTGTTTTTTTTTTGTACTGTGTGTTTTTTTGTTTGTTTGTACTGTGTGACCTCCCCTTTTTAAGGTTTCTCCATTTGTTTTATATTTGCATAGATTTTTATATTTATATACTGTATTTTCAGTGTTCTCCCATAATTGAAACATTTTTACTGGTAAATTTGTGCATTGAATTTAAATTAGCTATGCATGCAGTGTCAAGTGTTTCCCCTTTTGAGTGGTGTTTAATGGATTGAAAAAAAAAACAACACATAACCGAGTCCTATACTGGAATAATGTTCCTATATTGAAAGATGGCTAGCCTAGACCACCTAGCAATTACAATGGTTTTTTTTAATTTTACAAACACAAAATTTTTACCGGTTGGCTTGATATTTTTACCGGTAAAATTGACAACTAAAACGGCTTCACCAGAACACTGATTTCACATTTTTTTCTTGCCTGTAAGTGGTAATTCTTCACTTTTAAATAAATAAATAAGTATAAAGTATTAAAAGTAATAAATAAATTAAGTATAAAAAAAAAATTAGGATTATCTAGTTTTTTAAAATTAGTTAGAAACAAATGTATATAATTTTGTTTAGCATGTTTTTTGATATGATTAGAACCTTACCTGCTGTGTTTAATTGTTTTACAGAAAAGGAGTTGAATGTACTTTTGGATGAATTGCTAGAAAGTGTAAGTTGTTTAAATACTGTTGAATGATAAGTAACGTGAGCTTTAGTTATACTTTGTTTATACTGCATATCTGTTATATACTTTGATCTGTTATGATTTTCAAAGGATCAAAGTAGCAGCTAATAAACAAAAATTTAATGAAGAATACAACAGTTTTAGTCTTCATAATAGGCAAAACCTAGTTTTTTTACTATGGCATTTACGGCACTAAATTTACTTGGTTCTCTAGTCAAATACCATCATCAGAGAAACTATTGCACACGTACACTAATAATAATACTAATTGTATTGTTAACATTTAATTTTAATGATCTATTTTTTTTTTAAGGAATAACATTTTTTTTCGTAATTTTGTAAATTTAACTTGACTTGAATTTACTGTAACTGTGCTAATTGTGTATTTTTTTGTGACTTTTGTAATTTTTAATCTTTATAAGTAGTTTTTTTATTTTTAGTTTGACGCCATTCAGTGCATGGCTGCAATGTCAAATTTTATTATTTTAATAGTAAACTAGAATGAAATGAAACTTAACATGGCTAGGGATCAAATAATAACTGGAAAAATAAAGTTGAGTGAAATAACAACAATATACATGTAATTAGTGAACAACAAATTGATACAGACAAAGTTATATTTACATGATATAATCGTTTAGTGAGGGCTGTTCCAACTGAATGTGAATTTGAAGGCAAAGTTCACTATTGTGAAACAATTTTCATTAGTCAGTTGTTTACATTGATGGGAACTGTTCAATTGCTTTAAAATGTGGAAGTTCCCGATCACAGTGCTCACACATGCCTGAGACAAATTTCCAGAATGTAATGTGTTTCATTATTTTATTGTAGGATGAATATCTATTCACAATCAATTTTATCTGGTTTTTTTTTTGTGTTTTTTTTTTAACCAGATAGGCCCAGGGCCTATGGCTGAAAATTAGTTTTTATTGTAAAATGTGAAAATATAATTTTCATGTCTCGCATAACATTCCACCTAGGTTATGAACAAAAAATAAAAGTATGTTTTGCCTATTTTAGCACTATGTAAAATGCAATCATACATTCTTAATTCACATCAACAGAAGAAAAACTAATAATTTTAAATAAAATAAAAATAGTTTTTTTTGTTATTATTAGTAATACTTTCATGAAATTAATGTTTCAGTATGGAGGTGAAACTGGTTGGAATGAGCCTTTTGAGGTGCCACAAGTTGATTACCACACCCAGAAGACAGTGGCAGGCATGTTGAGCAACAAGCCTGCCAATACCCAGGCTGTCCCTAAGGTGCCCATCAAAGTTGTTTTGATTGTAACACCTGAGGAACGTTTACAACTTACACAACAGATGCAACAGGTTGGTTAGTGGGCCCTGCTGTGCCAGGTTCTTTCACTTGGTACTTTACTCAGTCTCCATCTTAAGTTGGGTTTTTTTCGTCATTTAATTTTGTACTTCCTATGCGAGTTATGAAGGATCACTTGGAATTTATGTCCATTCTATACCCACGTTTACACTGTATTTTATTATATTTTTTTGAACTAGTGCAAAATACCAAAATCTGATCAATCCTTCGCTCCCTATGAAGTATTTCTAGTCCTGTAGAAAACTTTGCAACTGGCTAATTTTTGTTTCAAGTCATTCACATGATTTGATTTTAGTATATGTGATTTTTTTTTTTTGCTCATCCATCTGACTATTGATTTTGAATCTCTTCACAGCATGTACAGCTGTTATGCCAGATGTATTTGTTAGGGCGAGGTGACAAAAACTACAACATGGAAGCAAACCAGGCTAAGATGTTCCTGAACGAATTAGCCATGTTAGGTGGCATCACCCTTCAAAAGGAATCCAGTGAAGTTGACACAAACAACCAACCTTTTCAATCAGACAACTCTTTCATAGCCTCAAACTTAAGAGGTGCGCTGGAGATCGTGAACAATTGGAATGATGAGAAAAGAGAATCCCCTACAAACTCAACAGAGAAAAGAGGCAAGAAGAAGCAGGAACATGCTACATGTAGCACAGAATTATACTACAATTCTAAACCAGTACCAAATGATGCTAAGATTGTTTTGATGAGTAGCACTGTGTTCATGTATCCAGAGTTGCTGCCACATTGTGGTTTGAAATATCAAGCAACAAATAAGCCAACATTTGTTGATTCTGAAGATAAGTAAGTATTTGTCACTTCAAATGTATTTGATAAATGTTTGCGCCATTGATGAGATGTGTGGTATAGTACATCATGTGGCGTTAAGATGTAAAGCATTAAACGCTTGTTTTAATATTTATTTTTATACTTTATTCAATTTCCAGTTTTAAACATGAACATTAAAAACTACAATTAGCACCTGCTGCTAACCAAACGTAATCAATTCATTAGTGAGCATTGCTATGTAAGGCTGTCATTTCGTTTTAAAAAGGACCTTATAAATAATATATTAATATTTTTATGGTGTTAACTATAACATCAATTTTCGTCTAATTTAAAAGGAAAAATACTCTTTGCATAATAAAATCTGCAAAAATTCTCAGACATTAAATGATAACATAGGAAAAGAGGATTTTTTTATGAACAGACTTTTTAATACAAAAGTCCAGTTTATTCATAGCCAATTTAATGGTTAATGCAAATACTATAATGGTAAATAAGTAAAAACATATATACTAAGCAATTCAAATATAGATTTTATTGTTAAGTTTATTAACACAATATTTATACTTTACAGTGTATCATTACTGCATTATTCTTCCACATTTTCTCCCAGTCTGATTGTCTTAGGCTTGCAACAGTTTGACAAATTGGATACAAAGTTTAGATTGATTCAGAAACATATGGTACCCAGTAAAACTGTCAAGCAGATACAGGCCAGAATTAAAAACTTCAGCACTAAAAAAAAACAAGCAAATTCAATCAAGGTAATCAATTTTTCAGTCAATCAGTGTATCAAACAATAAGTCAATCAGTCAGTCAGTCAAGTAATTAATCAGTCAACCAGTCAATTAATATATGAATCAGTCAATCAATTAAAGAAATCAACCAATTAATCATTCAGTCTATCACTCAATCAAACAAACAATAAGTCAATCAATCTGTCAGTCAAGTAATGAATTTGTTAATTAATTAATCAGTGACGTAATCTATCAGTCAAATGGGAGGCGGAGCATTCATGTTTAAGTCTGTAGTTTTAAGAAGTTTTAAGAATGTAGTCCTATAAATAAATGAATAAAGAAATTGTGTAATAAAATTCCTCTGGCGGGACTCAAACCTGCGACCTTTCGCTGTCAAGGCGAGCGTCATAACCATTAGACCACGGAGGCTTCATGGTTAAACAGATTCAAATACCACCAGATACACTCCATTACACAATAAGTATGGCTAGAAACAAAGGTTCGAGTCCCGCCAGAGGCATTTTATTACACAATTTCTTTATTCATTTATTTATAGGACTACATTCGTTGCGAGCTATGCTACACGATGTATTATTATGTCCTTTATTCGAACTCTGTATTTACCTTTCTTTGATAATTTATATATATAATTTAACAGTGTTAACGGCTACCTTGATTTATATATATACAAATATAGGTATATAATAACAAAGAGTGTGTAATGCTTGTTGGTTGTCTTTCAGAACTTCAAGTTGCATAATGTCATACCTCCCAGTAGAAACCCCTGTCAACCTGTTCTACCTGGTCAGGCGGTTGCTCCAATATTTCAGTTTCAAAGTAGACTGCCTGATTGGATGAAGGTTACAGTTTATTCATTTATGTGTAATTCATAATCATAATGACAGTGGTGGCAGTGATGAAGATGATGATAATGATTACTACAATTTCAATTCTGTTACTTTGTAAACATACAAAATTTTCAAATAGATGTAGAATCAAATTACTGTGTACAGATTCTAAAACCTTACAGATAATGATGATTTTCATCTTCTGCTTTTTTTTAAGAACCTTAAGATGACTAGTCTAATGAAGTTAGAACGGGATCTAGAAAAAGAAAGAGAAACAGAGGAAAGGACAAAAAGAGCAGTTTTTGCTTCCCTTGATGAATCTACAAATAACACAGTAGAAATATCAAAGTTGAAACAGACATTAGTTCCACTCAGAAGAAGAAAGAAACATGGTATGGCATTACCCAAAATGGTAACAGGAAACTCTTTGCCTGTTGGTATAATACAGACTCTTAATGGACAACAGATTATCCAATTATTACCCAACCAAATCTTACAAAGTAATTCAGGAGTTATGCCAAGTTTTACTAACATACCACCCCACCAAATTTCATTGGCTAATGCTGGTCCTATTCAAGCAGTTGTTGTTCCTCCAAACACACACACAAAAACAGAAGTAACTGCAATTTCTGTACCAACATCAAGTACATTTGTCGGGATTAACAGTGTAATGAATAAGAGCATTATTCAACAGGGAAACAGCCAAAATACTGGCCTCGCACAAACTTCTTTGCAGTGTATCACCATGAGTAGTCCAAGTGTAGTGACCAGTCCTTCCATCATTACCCTTCAACAAGTTCCTTCTACTAAAGCAATTGCTGTTAATCCCATCAAAACTACTCAAGCATTATCAAATGTTTCTAGCGGCACTGGTATATTGCAACCAACCACAATCGTGATTCCCCCAAACACTCAGACACAAGAGAAAATGCTTGTTCAACAAAGCACTGTTGTATTGGTTCAGAACAATGGAAATAATCAAAATTCCAGTGGGAGTGAAACTCCTACTTCTAAAGAGACCCCACCAATTAAGGAAGTGAATCAGGAGGTTAGCAGTTCTTTCCAGAAGGCACTTGTTCCCTCTACATCACAAATGATTCAATTGAGCCCTGGGAAACATGGACCTGTTATTCAGTTTGGTGGAAGGAAATCCTTGACAAAAGATTCAATGAAAGTAGCTATAGGAAAAAACATCATGCCAATTTGTCTTAGTAAAGGTGGTGGAGATGGAATTTCAGCTCTTAGAGGCTTTCAGATTCTCCATGCTTCACCTGATGCACCCATTGTTTCTGATCAACCCCAAGAAGGAAAATCGGAGAAAACGGCTCCAGAGAAATCAGAACAGAGTGACGCCAGTTGTCTGACAATTACAAACTCTGCTAAAAATTCTGAGAATCTAAATAGTAATTTGATAGCAAAGGATAGCAAGTGTTCTTCATCTATTTCGCCAACTGAACATCACACAAAAAGTACAGGACAGCTTTCTGAGATCACAGACGCCAAAGGTTCTAAAATTGATCCTGACCATGGTCAGTGTGCTGCAGCTACCTATGATAGTAATATTCCAGTGGTGACACCAGACTCTGTGGCGATGGAAACTGTTTCAAAATCTGTTGAAAATACTCAAAAAGAAGAAACTGATTTAAATATCAGTAAAGATTCTAGGATGCTCATGGATGATTCTATCTGCCAATACAATGAAAAAGATGAAGGTGATATAGAAGTTGATATTATGACAACTGATGATGATGACATGAATAGCAGAAAAGAGCAAAAGAAAAACGAAAAAACAACATATGAAGATGATGAAGATAAACCAATTGATGATGATGAAGATGATTTTGAGTTGGATGTTGTTGGCGTGTCTGATTCAACATCTTCGGCAGTTAATGTCAAAGATCCTACAACCAAGGAAATCACTAAAAGTTCAACAAAACCTGAAGATCAAGTTGATATTGAGGATGGTCAAGACAACAATCCTGATGAGGAGCATCCTATGGAGTCGGTGTCAAATGCAATGTCTGAAGAGCAATTGAAGGCCTCAAGAAAAGTTGCTGCCAAGAGGTTGAAAAATAGGCTTCGAAAAGAAATGGAATCCACTGTTGTGCTTCTTGACCCCAACATTGTAGAGAATGATCCAAAGGTAGTTATCATAAATGATTTAATTATTATATTTCTTGATTTATTATCATGAATTTGTATCTTAATTCTTGCAGTCTCTTTTATTATTTATTTAAATTTATCAATGTGGTCAAAGCAATTAACTTCTCCTACTTAATGATTTGTGGATTAAAACAAGTAATAGGAAAGATATTTGTCCATAAACCTTAAATGTTGTAACTTATTGTATGTATATTCTTGTAAATTCACTTTTCCACAAAGTGGAGGAAGTTTCTGTTGTGGATTGAATAGATATAGAAAAAATTTGAATTACAATAATTCTTAAATTGTTTTCCAGAAAGCAGAGCGGGATGACATCTTTGCAAGAGCTTATTTGAACAGAGTGAAGGTACACAAGTTGCTGCAACCTTATTCATTGTGCTAATTTAATGTTTATCATTTGATAGAATCAGAATTCTCCAATCTGTTATTTGTTGTGACTAGATACGGTCACCTTTACACCTAATTGCACTAATTATGTTAACTTTTTTGCCTACTTGTGCTGGTGTAGGGCATGGCATGTCAAAATAATGGCACTTTCCCGCTCACCTTTTCGTCCGTCATCTATTTTGATCAGTATAGAAGAAAGCCGCTTCTGCAAGTTAATTTGTAATTTTTTTTTTTATTTCTGCAGGATACATTCAAAACTCATCCTTATAAGTACCTTGAATTTTTAAAGGTTCTGTCTGATTTTCACTCTGATGAGCTGCATATATCACAAGTAAGTTAGTTTGATATGTTAAGGGGTGCTGCTGTAGTAGCAAGGTGGTTAAGAGTGCTACTATAGTAGCACAGGGACGTATCCAGGGGGGGAGCCGTGGGAGCCGCGGCTTTCCCCCCTTTGTACACACTGTTAAAATTTTAAAGTTTATTCTTGAGCCAATACAAATTCTTTCCTGGGATCACTCAAAATGAATACTTCTAAACATGTAAATATGCATCAGTACCCGTTATACATAGGCCTAATAGAACACATAGGCCTAAGCGTGATTTAAAATACACATCT